AATTTCATTGAAATGTGATGATTACTACTTGAAATAGCAAAAGCTGAAAATTAATTATGCTAATTAGGTAATTAAAATCCAATTAAAACTAATCAGGTCTCTGCATAATCCTAGAAGATCTATGTAGCAAGTCTCATTGAAATGTGATGATTAGTACTTGAAATATCAAAAGCTGAAAATTAATTAATTATGCTAATTAGGTAATTAATATGTTCTCATATTACCTTAAAAACTATCAGGTCTGTGCAGTGTCCTATGACATCTATGTACCAAGTTTCATTGAAATGTGATGATTACTACTTAAATATCAAAAGTGAAAATTAATTAATTATGCAAATTAGGTAATTAATATGTACTCATATTACCCTAAAAACTATCAGGTCTGTGCAGTGTCCTATGACATCTATGTACCAAATTTCATTGAAATGTGATGATTACTACTTGAAACATCTAAAGCTGAAAATTAATTAATTATGCAAATTAGGTAATTAATATGTACTCATATTACCCTAAAAACTATCAGGTCTGTGCAGTGTCCTATGACATCTATGTACCAAATTTCATTGAAATGTGATGATTACTACTTGAAATATCAAAAGCTGAAAATTAATTAATTATGCTAATTAGGTAAATAAAATCCAATTAAAACTAATCAGGTCTCTGCATAATCCTAGAAGATCTATGTAGAAAGTCTCATTGAAATATGATGATTACTACTTGAAATATCAAAAGTTGAAAATTAATTAATTATGCAAATTAGATAATTAATATGTACAAATATTTTACCCAAAAACTAATTAGGTCTCTGCACAGTCCTCAAGTAACTATGTACCAAGTTTCATTGAAACATGATCATTACTACTCGAAATATCAAAAGCTGAAAATTAATTAATTATGCAAATTAGCTAATTAATATCTACTCATATTACCCTAAAAACTATCAGGTCTGTGCAGTGTCCTATGACATCTATGTACCAAGTGTCATTGAAATGTGATGATTACTACTTGAAATATCAAAAGTTGAAAATTAATTAA